TCTCTCTCTCTGTCACACACACAATATTCAACCCCCCTTCCCTCTTCAACACACTCAAAGCTACAAAACAATAAATTCAAATACTAGAGTTTTATCTTTTAATACACGAGTGTGGTTATGTGTATGGTTTATCTCTATTAATATCTATTTATTTGTTTTTTTATTTAATATTTAAAAATTAAATTTGTACACAAGGGCGTTGGGATGAAAAAAAAGTTTAGGAAAAAATAATTTATTTATTTTAGCCCATGTTTATATTCAATATTTTCAAGAAAAAATAAAGCTTTGCTGTCATTAATTAAGTGAATGCATTTAAATATAAAACTAATAATATTATTTATACTAGCTCCCTTTGTTGTCCCAAATATAAACAGTATAAACCAATACGTCAGTCCTTGACTACTGTGAACATGTAGGAAACAGATGAGTAGAATACACGTGTTTAAAAACAAATAACAAATTTACCATGTAGTTAGTACTAAACTTAAACTAGGTGTTATTTTGGTATTTATGGGTTGTAGAAAATACACGTTTGTTTTCTATATCTCCTTTGATTTTACATATAAGCTACCAATTTAAACAATGAATTAAATAAATATAAAATACAGATTATCATGTGAAACAACAGCCTAGAAGTCACGTCTGTAACGATAGCACAACATAGCGCATCTTAAACGGTTTACGGTTTAAACGTTTAAATGTCTTGAAAACATTTCAGTAACTTTTCCTCAAACTTACAGGACTAGAAAAACTTGCAGTAGTTATAAAAAAATGAATTTAATTTCGCGTGTTTTAGGCCACACGTGCACCATCACACCATTAATCTGCGTCTAATATAGAAACAAACAGCCTGGACTCAGCATGGGATGCGTAATGACGCACGCATTAAGTTCCAGTCACATTACGAGTGTAATGGTGTTGGTTTGTTTTCATTTACGCTGACAGACGCTTAAGTCGCAGGGATCAGCAGCAGCAGCAGCAGCAACATCAGCTGTATGGATGTGGCCCTCAACCTTATGACCCCGCGTCCAGAAATATAACACTGGAGACGAGGCTACAAGAGCGGCGGCCTTACTGAAAAATGACTCACCCTTATATATATATATAAAAAAAAGAAATCCTTGTAATGTCTTATTAGGTGTTTTTGCTGTGTGGTTAATACTCAGGATGTGATTACACACAATCAATAAATGGAAACACAAACCTCCACCAATTTGTAAAACCCCGTTTCCCCTTCGGATCGTTTCAACTGCTCCAGAGCAGTGTCTCCTGGTCATCTGTTGTTTTATTGAGGGGCCTTGCACTTGTGACCTCAGTGTTTTCCCGACTGATGATGTTGCTGCGTGTTGGTTTTAGCTGCACTGCAGCTGCAGTGTTAAAAATGGAGAGGATTACTGTTCATCACATCACATTTGGCAAAACTATTATCTGCTCTTATTTTTTACTTCTTTACTACAATTCCCATTAATTATTTATCTTTGAAGCCATTTAACTAAACACGAGCACTGAGGGAGTAATTAGATCCTTCAAAGATTATTTTCTATTGTTTTCAGCTTATTGTTTTTTATTCAATAATAAAAAAGACGTTATATTTAATTTGGGAAAAAAATAATATTGAGTACTATTTTAAAATTAAATGTAATGATATTATATTAATATTAAAATTAATATTGATGTATTTTTACTAAGTCATTTCTATTTCAATAGTAGAAGATGGACACTAAATATTAAAACTCTCAATTAAAAATAATAGATTATTAATTACGAGAATTACGCGCAGGATTATCATTAGCAGCATGGCAGAGAAATGTTATTTTTGTGCAGCTATTTAAAATGTTGACCCGATCAATTTAGAGTGTTGTTTATTTTACTTTTTGTTTAACTTGACTTTTTTGTGCTATTAATTTATGTCAACAGTGTGATGGATCACAGCATGACATTTTTCCTTTACTCTTTCGCACATGCAGTCATTTTTCTAACGCAGTGATGTGTGTGAGAGTGTTTGACAGTGCACTACATTTAACGCCAATGCACCCATTGTGTTATTTCCATTTATTTACGTATTTACACGCTACATTGTATTTAATAGAGGTGACACTTGGAAAATAGAACGGGAGGTGGAATAAAATGTTACCTTTGATAATCCACTGATGTTACGGCAGATACAAACAGGCTCTTATCGACTTTATTTTTTACAGCAACAAATAGCCTGGTGCAGGTGATGTTCACCGGACGGCTCATGTCCAGCAGCACAATGACAACAGAAACTGCCGGCAGCATGTTATGGCAACGGTGCAGTTTATTGCACACAAAGTTATGAGGTTAGACGAAATGCAGAACGTGGTCTGATCGGTATGATGGTGCGAAGAAAAGAAATGATGTGTATCTCTATTTCGTTTATTTGTTTAATTTACGGCTCGAAATCTACTTTTAACGGTTTTGCGGAGGCGCGCGGACAAATGTGTCTGTGCGCACCAGAGCATTGGGTGAAGAGCATATGATGAAGTTAAAATGTGTACTTGCCTTCTGTGCGCCCGGTTTTATCCAGGTTCAAAGCTGCTGCTCTCCTGCGAACCTCCGCCACCTCTGCCTCTGCTGCTGCAGCTTCTTCTTCTTTTTATGTGCCGCTGTCCACTTTCTCCCCTTTTCTCTCGCCGCTTTCCAGCTTTCTATTAGAGCCTCTCTATTGCCTTCTCCCATTCGCTGCCCCTCTCACTCTCCTCTCCTCTCTTCTCCTGCGGAGCCTTTTTCCCAATCTGAGGAGTTAAATCTTAATGATACACTTAGAGGGAGAGGGAGAGAGAGGAAAAATCTTTGTCCGATTTAATCTTATTGGTTTCACCTTTTCAGAGAGCCGGAGACATGGCCGGGGAGTTTTTAGTGGAGTGTCCGAGACATGGGACGGGGGAGAAAGCTCTCATGTTGAATGCTTAAAAAAGAAGCCATCCCTCCAGTGTGTTTGCAAAAGGGGGCTTCTGCATGTTTGCGCCCCATTGTATCTACTAATATCTCTTTGTGGTCAAAGATTTGCATTCAGACACTTTGAATAAGAATTCTTAACAATAACCTCACGCATTAGGAACGCTTATTCTTTTTGCAGCATGTGAAAATATAGCAATATAGCAGCGTTATTCACGATTACGATTATATCTCTGTGCTCCATCTTTATTAGGTGCAGTAAAATCCGCACTTTACTTTTGATACTTTGCTGTGTTGTTGACACGTTAAGTATATTTGTTGACACACTTTTTTCTTCTCTTTCTCTCTCTGTTTCCTACGGCCATAACAATGAAATATCTTTTTTCTATAATCACTAATGTCCACAAATATATGTGCGTTAAAATCATCTTTTTATTCTTTTTTTTTTTTCTATATCAACTCCTCAGTCTTAAAATTGTATCTTTGATGACTAAGGCATGCGATAATATTAAGTTGTAATTGTGCAACGTACGCTAGATGGCAGCGCGATCCAAATATTTTTCAGTCTGAGAGGTGGCGAGGCTGCAGAAACCCTCATACAAAAAGCCGGAATCCCCATGCAAATTCCCCGCAACTTGATTTGGAATTACTGTCATTATTAAGACATAATGTGACACCAGCTCAGTGATTGTGGAAACGCAGCATCCTGGTAATTATTAAATGTTGCTTATTGCTGCAACTATTTATAGAGATTTCCGACCGCTGTCACACCGCATCCCGTTCATACAACATGCTTTTTCGTGCATCAGCCTTTGAATTGACATCTCCTGCCTTTATAAGCGCCTTTAAACTAAAATGTAAGTTTTAATCGGCGACACTGTTGCCGATTACAGACGCGGATTTACCGCAATGCGCACGGAAAAGACAAAGCAACATGTAAAACCTTAGAAATCCGCTTCAAACCAAACATGACACTAGTTATTTCTGTAAGATAACAGACCGCAAACAAACCATATTGAAACTTTGGGCAGGAATTCTGTGCCAGAGTCCTTATTTCGCCGCTGCGCACAGCTTTTTGGGTTTATTTGCCGTTCGTAAAACCTTTGTGCCCCCCACCTCCTCTCTGTTGCCTTTACCCCGCGTTTTTTGCCATTCTATCCAGGGTTTCTTCCTCTTTTTGGCGACAATAGACGACCCATACTAATCAGGTTTCAAAGTAAATAGCAGCGCGGGGCGAGCTCAATGTAAATTGTGCCTGTCAGAGACCCCCAACCCCTCCAGTGGTTGGATGGCAACACTACAAAAAATATCAATCTGTTCAGTACCTAGTCTGGAAATCTTGGTTTTAAACAAAATATGAGACTAAAATCCCGATCCATGTGTTGGAGATTGTTCCTACTTGTTCCCAGTGCCAGACCAGACTCATCACGTTGCGTGTTTGTCATTTTTATAAGATCGAGCCATTGTCTTTTCCACCGCTTATAAACGCTATCGTTTGCTGAAACGTATCTTTAAACTATTAACATTTCAGCTGTAAAACAAGTGGAATTGTTCACATCCATTCGTACTGACTTTTAAGGAAACAGTTGTGTTTCAGGATTTGAACACGAGACTGAATGACTTGTCAGGATGGACATTTTTTGCAGTGAATGAACGGAGGGAGTCTAACCAATAGAAAGGCAGAGAGGGCTTGGCTATAACCTTAGCCTCCCATTTTTTTCTCTCTCTCTCCCTCTCTTTCGTTCTCTCTCTCTCCCCCTCTCCTCTCCTCCTCCCCTATGCAGGGCTCTGGCCAGTCAGTCGCCTTTGATTATCAGTCTCCAGCAGCCCCTCTCTTGGCTCCTTGACATGAGCACCATATAAGGCGCAGCGATCTCCATAGAAACGTGTCAGTTTCAATAGTAGTGTCAAAGTTCACTATATACAGACATTCGCGCAGATCCCCCGTTTCGGGAACATTGCTCTGCTGGTCCTCCCGTTTAAGCGCATTCAATTTTTGAGTCTCTCCTTCTTCTTCTTGCATATTCTATTAGTTGTTGGTGTTTTTTTCCTTTTCTTCCTTTTTTCATCTTTTTTCCTCTTCGTATCTCCATTCCTCCTGCCGGAGAGAGGTGAAACTATACATGGGCACTTCATTTGCCGACGCGCTTAGCTTTCGCTGCCGGGCGAGATGATGAGGTTTATTTAAGAATATAGATGTAAAAATCCAGCTCTTCAGTCTGTCCTCTCCTCCTGTGCGGCGAAGACGGGAGCGTAAAGGAGCAAGGGGAAGAAAAGAGAAAGGAATTTATCTCCGCAGCACTTTGGATCGCGTGTCTTTCCAGCAAAAAGGTCTCCTTTTTTGACTCGCTCCTGCGTCCATGTGAAGCGCTCCTGTTTTTTCCTTTGTGGCTATTTTATACCAAGCTGCAATTTGTTACGACTGGACTCGGGTTTTCCTACAAGATTAGGGATTCCTGAATGGCTGACTGCAATTTACCTTGGAACTGGCCTCCCGATACTTGCATATCCTGATCGAGTGCCTCTTCAATCGCCCTCCTGTTATTTTGAATGCATTGATCGCGCTCTACTCTACTGCTTCATACCCCCATATGAGATTGCGTGCTCTGATTTGACTTTGCACTGCCCCGTCTTTTGAGATCTATATTATTTTTTTCTTCTCCTCAACGCTCCAGTAACACCGGCGACCATTTCGCTTTATAGCACTTTCCGTGGCCGAGATATGGCAATGGTAGTTAGCGTTTGGCGAGATCCGCAGGAAGACGTGGCCGGAGGACCTCCGAGCGGTCCCAACCCAGCAGCGCAGCCGGCGAGGGAGCAGCAGCAGGCGGCGTCGGCAGCGCCGCACACTCCGCAGACCCCCAGCCAGCCGGGACCCCCGTCCACACCGGGGGCCGCTGGGGACAAGGGGAGTCAAAATTCTGGACAGAGTCAGCAGCATATTGAATGTGTGGTTTGCGGAGACAAATCGAGCGGCAAACACTATGGCCAGTTTACCTGCGAGGGATGCAAAAGTTTCTTCAAGAGGAGTGTACGGAGGAACTTAACATACTCATGTCGTGCCAATAGGAACTGTCCCATTGACCAGCACCACCGAAATCAGTGCCAATACTGCCGGCTGAAGAAGTGTTTAAAAGTGGGGATGCGCCGGGAAGGTGAATATATATATATATATATATATACATATATATGTAAATACACATTAATTTACACACACTAAAGTCCACTCGTGATTTTACGCATCCACATCAGCAGCCACCGTAGTAGTAGACGGAAAAAGGGCTGCCATGTTGCATTAAGGTCACAGTCTATATGACTGGGAACACACTGCAGTCTCCATCCATGATTTTCAGGGATGTTTGCATGAATGCTTAAGTCTCATTTTTCTCCTCCCCTCTCCGTGCATACACATGAGAGAGAGAAGGGTAAAAGGCCAGAGAGCAGCCACAGTATCTGTGCTTTTCAATGCTGGTCGCCTGAACAAAGCGGTCGTTTTGACGCAGCTGACCTTTTCATTTAATTTTTCTTATTTATAGAATTAAATTATTGTCCAAGCATCACCATTGTCAAAAAGCACTAGGTACAAATGTGCTGTTCCACGCACATATATGTTTTAAGGGGAAAAGAGGGTTCGTGTTTGAGTGTGTGTTTGTGAGTGTGTTTATGTGTGTGTCGGTGTACAGTGTTCAAAGCTACTAAGCTCTTTTAGAAGTATATGCTGATTGTTCGTGTAGTATAGTGCTGTTGTTTTGGTGGGTTTTTTTTGTTTGTTTTTTGTGTGTGTGTGGATGTGTGTGTGTAAATGTTAGTAAGAACACACTCCAGACCCTGGTCTCTGGCTTCTGGTCTCTATGCTGACTACACTGCTCAGAGGCTAAAGTTGTTCCTGGCTAATTGTTTTGCCTGCTGTATTACAGGCCGGGTAACTTCCCTCTCCATGATGGTTGTTTTAATTCGAATTAATTGTGAATTTAATATTCCCAAAAAATTTTGCAATCATCCCTCTGCTCAACCCTGTCATCTACATGCACACTGAGAGTCTGCGTCTGACACACACTTGCCGACATTAATATTTAATTTTGATATTAAACAATGGCTGAAATCCCTTAACTTTCACACTACCTTTTTATGTGGATAAAATGTACAATTGTGGCTGCAATTAACGATAATTATAAACTCGGTTTGGCATATGTCCGAGCACAGAAAATAATTATTAAGTTAAACAGATATTTCCAAAAAATATAAAAATAAGTAACACTAAATGAACTCAAATTTGCTGCTGCGTGTAATGCGACGATACGCCCTAAACTATTGATGGTAATAAAATAATATTAAACAATTGACAACTTGTAGAAAATGTAAGTGTTAAGTGTGTAAAAGTGATTGTATTTTCAGTTTTCCACATGTAACCTGTCTGTCTAAATACAAATGCAAGGAGTGTGAAGGTTAAGGGACACAGCACATATGTTCTGGTGATAAATGTATTATGATCGATGGACCAAGACTATCTTTCAAACCTCATACACTGTAGTCAATATGTTTTAAAGTGTGTGTTGAATTATTTTAGATTTCAATGCATGCTGGGTTTTTTTTGGGTTTTTTGTTTTGTTTTGTTTTTTTCCTCATTTATGGGACACAGTCGAGCTCTAGCTTTCTGGACGTGTTGTTACTCTTGAACAATGTTTATCAGTCCTGGATGCACATTTCCTCTTTTTCTCTTTCTTTTTGTCAGCGGCGAATGCCTCCAACTCAACCCAACCCAGGCCAGTACGCGCTGACGAACGGGGACCCACTGAACGGCCATTGCTATCTGTCCGGATACATCTCGTTATTGCTGAGGGCCGAGCCCTACCCGACCTCCCGGTACGGGAGCCAGTGCATGCAGCCCAACAATATCATGGGCATCGAGAACATCTGCGAGCTGGCAGCTCGTTTGCTCTTCAGCGCCGTGGAGTGGGCGAGAAACATCCCTTTCTTCCCCGACCTGCAGATCACCGACCAGGTGTCCCTTCTCAGGCTGACGTGGAGCGAGTTGTTTGTGCTTAACGCGGCCCAGTGCTCCATGCCTCTGCATGTGGCCCCTCTGCTCGCCGCAGCTGGCCTCCACGCCTCCCCGATGTCCGCGGACCGCGTCGTGGCTTTCATGGATCACATCCGGATCTTCCAGGAACAAGTGGAGAAGCTTAAGACGCTGCACGTCGACTCTGCAGAGTACAGCTGCCTCAAGGCCATCGTGCTGTTTACATCAGGTGGGTGTCCACAACATTGCCACACTGCGGGGAGACAGGGTCAGTATAAGTCAAACTCAGGGGCCACTTCCACCCGTGGCGCCTGTTGTGGCACCGTGGATATGGCTGTCAAACCATAGGGCTGGTCACAAATTTGACTTTACGAGAAGTGTGTGTTGCCGATAGAAGAGCTATTTTGTCAACAGCTTACTACATATCCACTTACATGCATTCCCATGTCAGTTGTAGCCGCATCAGACGTGTAAACAAACCCAGATTGAATGAGCGCGTCTACGTTTTCATCCTTAGCACTCGCTCAAGTGCCCCTCAAAACAGGACAAAAGTGACAGTATTGTATAAATTATTAAATTAAATTAAATTATTTTTAAACACGCCATCCACACCGACACGTCCGTAACTTTTTGGAACAGGTGTCAAACAATTGTGCGTAAAGATGGAATAGTCCATCAATGAGTGATATATGGCAGCTGATGCTTTTATGGCTGTTGCTGCTGCTGCTTGCTTTTATCCTTGTTTTGTGTGCACAAACACATGTCTTGGGGGTGGGCAGGAAATAATCCTCAGCAGACTGCAGATCAAAACGCTGATGAAAGTTGATTCATAATGTCTGTGCAGCGTTTCTGCACGACTCTCACAGCCACGCCGCATGTACACCAGTCTAACTTGACCCATTAATTTCCTTATTTTCTGAGGATAGTTTATCCCGAGGAGTCGTCAGCAGTCATTTTCAACAGTAACCCACATTGTTGATAGCTTAATTGATGGCTGACTGGGGCAAAGTCCCAAAAGTCCCCTTGCCCTCTGTGCGTAATTTAGATTCTATTTTGCAGTAGGGTTGTGTACACTTACACGTGTCATTAGGACTGTGGGGTCAAAGGAGTTCGGTAATGATGGAAAAGGAAAAGTTTGTCTTTATGCACGGGCCCAAAAACTTTTCTCCCGAACTTGCGTCAGAGTTTTTACACCATTATCTCATATTTGGCTCGATACAGAATTCCCCAAAGTGGTTCAACAAAATATATAATTCAACTAGATTCTCTAAAAATATTAAGATTTAATTGTAATTTTCAATTTTTTGGATTTATAATTGAAAAAATCCCCTTAACATCCTAGAGTGTATGTTAACTTTTCACTTCACTTTTAATTTGAGCAGCTGTCACACTTATCCATCTAATATGTTTTACAATTATTTAGTTATTAAAATCATAATTTACTTAACATCACATTAGTCACACCTGAATGCACACTACCACTTATAGAGTTTGTGAATAATACATACATATATATGTATATATATATATATTTATAAAATAGTATACAGTGTGTATAGGTTAATAATAAATTATTATTTATTTTATTTGAATTATTGAAACCCTTTAGTTCTCATTGAACCCGTAACAGGAATGAAGATTCTTCTTCACCCACCAAACCAACTTTAATTTTTCCTTTTTGGCGAAAACGACGTCACCACAAAGGTTCCCTACAGTTCTAGGATTTTCTGATTTTATATTTTTAGTTTCAGGAGCCATAATAGTTGGTTTCAGCCTTGTGGTTTGGCATCTGTTGGTTAATTTGACACACCAAAATGTCGGATAAACCCAGGGGTAAATATGAGTTTAAAAGCAAATAAATGCGTTCTTTACCTCGTGCTGTACTTAGGTAATGTGACGAAGTCCGATAACTTCACTATTAGTCTGACCGTCCTGTCAAATTTCTTTATGTACTGACAATCCTGGAAAATCTCCTATTGCACGGTGTTTTGGGTAATTCACCCTAGATTACCCAGCGTAACTCCATACGCACATTAAAGTTAACTCCGTATTTTCTAACACATCATTGAGTTAGGTTGACGGACAACAGCTAGTGTTGCCGACAAGAAGTCACGTGGGACCTTGTCCAGGCCGTTTTGATCTGTTAATGCTGTAAAAACACGGAACAGGTCAGTATTTTCTGCATAAATAATGTTGGCCACAGTTCTGTATCAGTGTCTCGTATGAACTCCATATTCACATGTGTACAGTGTGCGCTGCAGAGACACAGCCACAGAAATAGTCCTTTGCAAATCTGGAAACTATCTGTTCCCATGTCCCAGTGTGTGTTGAGGTTATGGGGTGCAGCTTTGCAGCCAGGCCCTGGGAAGAACTATTGGGTGTCTTTGACCATCTTTCTCTTGACATACACACACGCACGCACACGCACGCACACACACACACACCGCTTTAAAGTGCATACACATATAAAATACTAAATTTTATCACTCGTGCCATGTATTCGAATTGGTAATACATTTCCAAATCAAATGTGTCCTAACAGTATTGATTTCCGTAGATGTAAAAAAAATGGGAGGGGGCCACTCGTCTTTAATCCACAAGGATTTGAATATTCGTGCGGCACTAACCGGACCGCAGCCGAGGTCACAGTAAATCACCCCGAGATCGCAGCGTTGCCCTCGGGTTCACAAGGTTATTGAGTCTGGTCATGGTGAGTTATGGCAGCGAAAAATCACGAATAGGGTTAAAAGCATCCGTGCGACGTTCAATGTCGTATAATGCTTGAAATCTGAAGCAGCCTTCCTTGTTTGGTCTCAACAGAAGCACAACACTCAGTGGTAGACTGTCTTAAGGACAGGCTGCAGACTCCATGTGGGACCATAGAGCTTTTACGCCGGTGGTTACGCTGCTTGCATTTACAGCACTTTATAAGCAGTAGGACACAGATGCTTGGGTTGAGTGTAAAAAACAGACCCAAACGTCGTAATGCACTTACCAACTGTTTTTTATGTATTTGTCTATACTGCACATGCACGTCCGCATGTAATCTAACAGCGAGCACCGAAACGCGCGAGTCACACACACACAGAGACAGAGAGACAGAGATCGAGCCTCATTTACCGATACTTTACGTCGCTTCTTCTCAGTGACTATTGACTTCACACACCTCCACTCACAGATGTGATTGGTACCAGCGGTGTGTCCTATAGGCTACGTCAGAAAACAGGCCAAATCTGGTCTATGGAGAGAAGAGCAGCGAAATGACTTTACAGCGTACAGCAGAGTAATTAGGTCACATTACAACCAGTGTAATTTCAGATTCATCTGTGCCGTTTGTGTTGCCTTACACACCAATCCCCCAGAGTCCAGGCATGAAGAGCAGAGGGCCTGTAGGCCTACAACCTACTACCTTCCCAGCACTTCCCACCCAGTTTTCCATTACATTTAGCGCCATATTCTTGTTGACAGTTGCGGGAGCATACGGAGATATAGCCCTTTCACTGCAAGCCCCCCACCCCACCCCCCACTTCTCCAGGCCACCCACTCATTCTCCATGACGTTCCCAGTGGCTCAGTGTGATGTAACATGTTTGGCCAGTGTGTTTGTCCATTCCACCTTGTCAATAACACGTAAAGGCTGATGTTGAATGATAACCGGGGAGAGAGCGAGCTTTTGTCGGATGTAAATTGGCAATGGCAAAGTGTGCACTTTATCCAGAGTGGAGCCCACATGAGGCTAAAATTGTCGCCATGTGTGTATGTTTTTTCGCGTGTATCGGTGTGTTCACATCAGGCAAATACTGATGTAAAGGAAATAATTGATTTTTAATTATTCCACGTCACTTTAAACCCTAGTGCGTCCTTGTAGATCTGACCATTTAAGAGGCTCGTTGGTTTTAAAAGTTTTTTTTTTTATCATGCGCATTTGGGCAACTTTGTGTTTGTTTAGCTTCACTTGGTTCATTATTGATTAATAACATGATATATAATGCATTTAGGCGCTGCTCTACAGCAGGCTGTTCCTTTTGGCTGATGGAGTCGTATACCCGGCTAACCACAGTGTTCTCTGGTGTTGGTGTTCTCCTCAGATGCTTGTGGCCTCTCGGATGCTGCTCACATCGAGAGCCTACAGGAGAAATCCCAGTGCGCTCTGGAGGAGTACGTGAGGAGCCAGTACCCGAACCAGCCCAGCCGCTTTGGGAAGCTCCTTCTGCGTCTGCCCTCTCTGCGCACCGTCTCCTCATCGGTAATTGAGCAGCTGTTCTTCGTCCGCTTGGTAGGTAAAACTCCTATTGAAACCCTCATCAGGGATATGCTATTATCCGGGAGCAGCTTCAACTGGCCTTACATGTCCATCCAATGATCCCTAATATGAAAGTGGAAAAAAAAAGAGAGTGAGAGAGGAAAAAAGGACCAAAATTCAGCACCCCCTCACCCCGTCCTCCTCTTCCTCCTCCTACTCCTACAAGAAGACTATATATAGGACCTTTTCTGAACAAACTTGGAAGACATTACTTTTTTCTGTCTTCTGTGACTGTGATGGAATACATAATGTACAGAAAAATATTGGAACTGGACTTTACACCTGTGTAAATCCGCCCCGTCATCTTCAAGAACAGTACTCTTCATTTTGTAAAATACTAGTCTTTATTTTCCTTTTTTTTTTTGTAAAAAATACAAATAAAATGAAAAACATCATATGCGCATTAAGAAAAAAAAAAAGAATCAAGACTTAGCGGGAAAATAATGTTTCCAAGCAATTATAAGAATTGTCCTGTGTCTATGTACCTCTCTGTTTTGTATTTTTTCTGGTTCTAAACCAGGGTTTCTGTGATTCTATACTAATAATTTTTTGATATAACCTTTTGCTTCTTATAATGAGTGCGATATATGTTGTCGAAGCTATGTTCTCCAAGAATTAAAATTGAAGTGAGGAATTAAAAACAGAAAAATAAAGAAATTTAGACAAATAAGAAACAGTCTAATCGCTATGACAATATAACCACTGATGGTTGAACTTTTTTTGCCCTAATTGAAACGATGGACCTGCAGCAGCAGCAGCAAAACTGACCTCCAGGACATTTTTACTGAGAGGACGTCTGGGGCGCCTTTGTTCCCCCTCCCCCCCCCCCCCCCCC